CTAAGTATACGGTTTGAGTTTTTGTTAGGGTTAGGGTCTCCACCATCTTGAAGGGACTTAAAAGATGATGACGAAATGGGATAGGAAAGCAAATTTACGTTCTGTAGATTACGCTCCGAACATACAGGATATACTGTAAAAAGTAAATTAAGTGTAACGTAATACACATGTGTTATGTAACAGTGCGCACAACTTGCATTATCTGGGAAGCAGAATGCTTAATCAACGCTCAGTAGGAGGCTGTATACTTTCAGAAAAAATGCGGTACATATGATTGAAACTCAGAGCTTTTGCAAAGAACCTTATTAATATACCACATAATATGCCTGTGATTACAGATACAAGGTCATTACACTACAGAACAGACTTGGAGGAAAACAACACTAGCTTGACATAATAGGCACGAAATGTAGTCAAAACAGGTTTTTAAAAAAATGGACATTTCTTGTTTAAAATGACTGCAGCCTTCCCTTTTGTGAAGAAAGAAACACAAAATTTATTTTAAATTTTGATATCACAATTTTCGAAGAAATCATAATAAGGGTTCTCACTCAATGACCCCAAGCTAATCGTCATATTTATCAGATGGTCCGCACAGCTAAGATCAAATCTCAGGCATCGCTTTGACAGTCGCACTAACGGTCTGAGGTACTTCTCATCACAACCTGGGCATCGTATCTCAGCGCACTCACTCCTTCTCCCTTCAAGAAGTATCAGAAATGATGCTTGATAAAGTTTTAGAGCACAAACAGCGGATATGTGATGACAGGGTGAAGGTTGCTTATGACAAGGAGGTTGTATTTTCTTTCTTACTGCGAATAGCTTGTCTTGTTATAATCAATTTGGGTAATAGAATAATTTTTATTGGTCGTGAGAGAAAATTCAGCTATATCTGAAAAAAGTCACATTTAAAACATGACACATGGAGTACAGGAATATAGTAAACGTTCGAAACCGTTTTAGTAACTATTGATCATATCCGAACGTCAGCAAATGTAATAATTTTTCAGTCTCTGGGTGTCTCTCTGTCTCTGTCTGTCTTTCTGTCTCTCTATCTGTCTGTCTGTATGTCTGCCTATGTCTCTCATTCTCTCTCTCTCTCTCTCTCTCTCTCTCTCTCTCCTTCTCTTTCTTTCTCTCTTTCTCGGTTATATTTTTCCAGATGAGAGGGGAAGAGAAGCGTTCGTCAGTACTTTCTTTCGTTTTGGAAGGTCAGATATATAAAAAAAGAGTACCCGTTCCGAAGATGGGGGCGGGAGGGTTAAAGGTGGAGTGGGGAGGGTGGGAAAGGGTGGGGGTGGGGGAGTATGTGATTCTTATCTCTGTTCTTCCTGTCTACCGCGTGTCACTTTTCTGACATCATCTACTCAGCACTGTCTTCACATTCTTTTAAAATCAACTGAACCTCCGAGCCCAGGACTCTGTGGAGCCTCTTGGTCGTACCGTCTGAACCCATATACTACATATATACACACACACACACGCACACACACACACACACACATATATATA